GTACTTTTTCAGCTCAAGCTTTTCTCTGGATGACTATTAATCATAGGAGAATGTACTGCCTAGCCTTAGGGTAGGATCAGCCGGTGTAGTGTGTGATTAATCCACTCCGCCAGCCAGAGCTTTGGCCCCTAAAGGTAATACAAATATGCTGTGATAAATAAGGTATTTGATGCATTGCTTTTATTACTACTATGTATAGGCAGGCATACAGTAGGAAGAAGTATATTCCATTAGTGACAACGGTATTTACGCTGATCAATCGCGTTAACCTGGGGATTTACCCTCCGAGATGTTCAAGCCAGACGATCGCGACCATTGTTACTCCTTACAGATTATCCCTAGCAGTACTCCGTACTCTACATGATGCGATTCGAGTACATGCATATTTATAGAATATTATACAGATTTTGTATGAAGCATTACAATTTTTGTACTACAGTCCCATTTCCCAAACTTATCTTGCCAAGTGGCTAGAGTATTTCGGGCGGCTGGTACCAATCGTCAGGCTCATTTCTCTTAATTTGCTGCCGTCGAACCACAAAATTATTTGCATTTCAACAGGATCGTTCCCTCCTCCCACAAAATGGCGTTTTTGTGGCGTTGGGGTGGCGGACTGCCGGCGCCTGCAGAGTGGGGGCGAGCGCAATATGTACTTCACTACTATAATTTTGCAGCTTAAGGTTAGAAGTGTGCGGCCTAATAATATGAGCGAGTGAAATGAGGGTGGAATAAGTCCGCGTTGGGCGGACTACATACAGATGGCGCCGGGCGTTTGTGATTACCTGCTAGTAACCTGATATGGATACCTAACTCTTGAGGTGATTGGCTTAGAGAACTGTTTGTGCTTGGGGTTTAATTGTGGCCATTCAGCAAGGGTTTGGTGTTGATCCGGGTCTAGCCGTAACACGTGAACCTTCTGTACTGCTGCCATGGGGTGGATGGATGGGAGTACTCGTTGGTTCAAAAGCATTCGGACACGCATAATGCATACGCACTATCCGTGATTTGGGATGGCACAGTATGCAATCATTATGCTGTAGAGTACTAACGAATGGTCATGCGGCTCCTGCTCGTGAGATAGGTAACGGGGGATTGAGTTCAAAATGATGGCCAAGATGATTAGGGAGATACAAGAGTGTAATAGAAGACATGAGGACCTTTATCTCGCCATCAGCAGTGTTCTCTAGGCGTTCTGACCTATATTAAATAGGTACCAAGATACATTCGAATTCTATTTGTATGGAAGCTAATGTTGCATAAAAAGCTATTCCCAAAAGCGCATAACTTGTATGCAACATCCGGCGTCCGAATACTTTTTGAATCAGTGAGTAGTTGAGTGGTGCAAGTACTCGTACAAAGTTTGAACTTGTGACACGTAGCATTGTCGCGCTGGTATGCTGGACGGAGAAGAAATTGAAGGATTGGACGAGATAGGGAACGACGCAGTTGTGAACCAACTGTATAATAGGAGGAGAGCTGTTTACTGTTTACCTGAATGGTTTTGTTGGCAAAACAACCTAAAGCTATGTACCTGGCGTTAAAAGATAAGTACCTACTTCTGACACATTACGGAGGCGGCTGGAGCGCACAGTGGCCCAAAAATGTATCGTCGAATTGAGAAAATCATAAATCATACGTTCTCGGCTTCTCGGCTACCTAACTGTCGAGAACCTGGATCCTTAGGAGCGCAAGCTCCGAAGTGGCATGTATACATTTAGATCTACTTTTATATAATGTCAATGTCCAAATGCAGCTCTACTAATATGCTATTATATTAGCCAAAGGTTGCATTCTTAGCGTTAGCGGCATCTGCAGAGTACTCGAGTACATGTGAAGATAATAGTATGAGTCCATGTCAACAGTCAAATGTCATATGGTTCTCTCCACACGTTATCCCAGCGGTGAGGTATTCATCATTTATTTATCAACTGCCGCCTAGCCCCCAACTTTATGTTCTCATAATTTCCCGGGTAATCCTAGGTACATGCTTTACCTATGCACTTAGCCCTGGCAGCGCCCAGCTTCCCCGGCCTTGGGGGCCTGATGCCTGTAACAAGGGTCAAAAAACCACAGAACTCCCCATTCCTCAGATCATGATCATCAGGCCATGTTCCGTGGGAATGGTACCGGGGAGTTGAGCAGCGCCGGGAGATTTTCATTCTTGCGCGATCTAGTTGACCAACGGCGTGCTAATGGTGGACACTATGCCATCGTAGGAGGTGATGCGCGAAAGTTGTAGCGGGGTCGTGGGAGGGCAGATTACGAAAGATTTTCTAAATGGGTATCCTGCCGATCCGGGTGATAGGCGATGGACAAAGGGCAGGGCACTCGGTCTGAAGGGATTCTGCATACGACAGAGGATGATCAGAGAGGCTGGTGATGAAGCTGAAGAGCCTCAGCAGCGGTGGCGGTGGCGGTGGCGGTGGCGGTGGGGCTCAGCTGAATTAAGAAGTGTGAGGGTAACGGTTGATTCTGGGATATGGCAAACCAATGAAGATGTCTCCTTGCGTACAGTGGAGATGAACTGCCGAACAAGCAATTTAGCAGGTACTTTATGGACCGATGTCACTCCATGCACCCTTCAGCGTCACCTGGCATCAGTTCTCTCTGACATCGTCATCGAAATTAACACAATTCCCAACCGCGACCCAATTACATATACAGTACTGCACTGTGACACTGAAGATGATCTGACACACCTCACAAGGATGCTCCGGTACGTAGCGCGAAGTCACTCAACCTCTGCAATGGGCCGGTCGACGAATGGCTATGGACGCGCCATCATGTATCTGTGAATGCAAATGCCCGGCGGCTTATCACTAATGTAAGTGCGCACGAGATCTATACGAGACGATACATATGTATATCCCTAGCATTCTCTACGTTTCCCTGCGCGGGGGGGGGGGGAATCATAAGGGCGGCTCTGCCACCGCCTTCCTTCGCGCTGCGTACACTCCATACACATCGCTTAAAATCTATCCTGTTCCTTGAACTTTCCAGCTACGTTTGATACGAGCAATCCCATTGACAGAACACTCGTCACACAGCTTTATCCTGAACTTTCTTCACACCCCGGAGGGGATGCGCACCGTCCGGCAAAATAATAACTGGAGTATAGTAGATATTGACGCTCTCTATAGAGTGGCTCTCGCCAGTTAATCAAACCCAAGCAAACTCCATACCTACCGTAAATCTCCAACCAGAGGAACTTACGACAAGGTGCAAAAAAAGCACTGCCAAAAAAACTTCACAACCCCTTAGCAGTCTTTATAGTGTCCTCTTTTGCAGCGTCTGTAGTTTTCATATTGCTCAGGCCATTTCGAACACCTCTTTGCAGCATATCCAATTTCTTTATTTATAAGGCTCCATTGCTTTGACTGGACCTCAAGGACACCCCTTTGGCTCGTCAACCGTCGGAGCACGTAAATAAGTAGCCAGAAGAGATACATTAGCACACAAACACCAATATTGTCTAAACACTCACGGCCCGCTGCCTCCGAATACTTTGTCCGGTGTTATACCACGAGGAGGTGAATAGCTAACATTCAGTAATTAACTAATAGAATTCCTGCGTAAGCTGTCCCTGTGGGCTGAAGAGACAGGCCAACAAAACGACTTGTTATAAACCTAGCAGACATCTTATCAGTCTTTGTCTGTATATCTAGAGTAACTTAGTCAGCTGTATATAACACTTTTGCCAGTGTTTGTGAGCTGTCCTGGACCGCAGATATGCGACCCCGCAGTTGTATCGAAGATGAAAGAAAACACGTTCCCTCAGTCCCAACCTGCCAGATTAGGCAACTAGAGTACTCTACTCTAAACGAAGAGGACCAAGGCCGATCACTCGTGACACTCTCATACAAACCGGGTTGATTGTGAGGATTATGCATGTGTTCACAGAGTTCCCCAGAACAAGTTCTCATCGTGCATGTCCGATAATGATGTCGTTTTACACCTTTCTCCCGCAATAACATGTGTACATTACTCAAGCACATGCCGGTTACTGCCCTCATTTATCGTAGCAGTAATGTCGCGTACTCCGTCTCTCTGCTATCTGACGTATGCCGCTTGTCATTTGTTAATCATCACCAACACTCCCGGTCTCCGCAAATACACTCCCCACAGCCTCTTATATATTTGTTTTTGGCGGGGGGTGAGAACATGGGTACTACCAAGTAGTCCCTAGCAAGGAATCTTTGACATTCGAATACATAAGGACCAGGTAATGTATACATAAGTTACTAGTCTGTGCTTAGCTTGTGGCATGACTTTCCCCGTACATACTTCCGTGCATAATTGAAATATCGAAAAAGTCACAGAGCTTCTCCAGCCAGTACCTACGCGTGCTTGCTTTTCCTCTCTATTTTACACTGGATTGCATGCGCGTTTATTATCCTAGCAATCTCTAGCCATGGAAATAATCTTAGTAGGGAATGGCAGCTCAATTGGATATTAAACTGGTCTCGATGAACAATTGCAACTTTGCAACTTCTATAACGAATATGGCATAGAGAATAAACTCAGGTGCCGCGTAAAGCTGGCCAGCGAAATACCCCAGCAAATCCTGTGATGGTTTTTCTTCAATTTGAATTACGTCATGTTTGGTTGTGCGCCAGGGCCAGTGGCTAGTTTGAGAAGTTCATAATTTACTGTGAGTTCGTGTACCACTTCACTGACAGGGCTAGGCCAACGAATATTTTATACACAGCATGTGAGTAGTTCCTCCTGACGGTGCGAGACTGATTACACCTGTCTCAATACAGAGATATTTTTTTTTTTTATGGTAGCAAGCCTGGTAGCAATTCGGACAGCCGTCCACATTAAATATGACGAAGCCCATTTCCATTGTTTTCGTATATGATTCCTGTTAAAATGCAATTGAACAAAGCCCAAGGCGAAACATCAACATCACCATCACCATCACTGTCAAGCAATTCAAAGCAAACTCGGGCTAATAATGGTTTACGAAACCGGAAAAAAAAAGCATTAAAAAATGGAAATGATTTCGCCCGGGTTCGAACCGGGGACCGCCTGTGTGTTAGACAGGCGTGATAACCAACTACACCACGAAACCATTGGTAATACAAGATTTACAGTCATATAGCCTCCATAAGTCTACTGAGAATGTTGCAGGAATTTCCTCCGCACAGACCGCCCTGTGAGTTACACAATCATGCTTCCGAAAGGGGCAGCTTATGCCATCTCGGGAAGCCAAAAGAACTTTGAGTTAGAAGTTAGGCACGCCTGACGCCAACACCGCACGACACATGCAACATCTTTCCCTCATTTCAGGCACGACACCAACCAGAGAGCAGGACAGACCATAGCAGCATCAATTGCATTCAAAAGGGCACGTAATAGCCTTTGCTAACATTGAAGCTTACTCTGGCAACACGTCACGTGGCATTCTCTGCTGCTGTTGCACTGTGCGGAGAGAGAGAGGTGAGTTAGACCTGACATTGCATTCAATGGTCTTGGTAGTGCCGGGAAGACCTCAATCGCACAGTACAATTGAGCTCGTTTGTGCTTGGTTTCTGATTTGCTAGCTTTAAATTGGAGGCCTAGCCCTGTTGCATTTATTTGGGATCCTAACGTGTTGTCTTTTTGCAATTGCGAATTGCAATTGAACTAGACTGGGTACTGTATTTTCCACTACCTGTTCTCCAATTCATCCTATTCCCTTCGTCGCACCCACCGTCCTTACCCATACGCAATCAATCGCTCTCGGTGACTCTCAATCGTCATCTCCCAGGATATCCGTATTGCAAGTTCCTTAACCTAAATCCAACCTATAAAACCCAATGGCGGACTCGGCAGACCCAGTAACAACACCAACGGACACCCTCCCAATTGTCGAGAAGACGGTCGAGAAGCGTCCATCCCAGGTGGACCTTCACCACACTCCAAAGAAGCAAAAGACTGCGGTGGACACCGATGATAGCAATGCTGCGCAAGTGACAGAGGTCCCTGCTACTGTGGCACCAACGTTATTGGTCAAAAAACTTAGTGACAAGGGAAGGGCTCCAACCAGAGGAAGCGAGTTTGCGGCGGGTTATGATATCTACAGGTTAGTGTTATTACCTACAGATTCACCGCGCCTCTTGATGCTGGGGATTGGAGGAGGGTAGAAGAATAGTCAATTAGATTTTCCTATACTCCAGTATAATGATGGCGATTGGATATGCCTCGTTTATTGAGCTTCACGGAGAAGGCGTCTACATTCTTCCCTCTACAGTGATACTGTCATCTAGTGAATCCCGTGCTAAAACTCAGCTCCATACAGCGCCCAAGATATCACCGTCCATGCCCATGGCAAGGCCCTTGTGGGCACTGACATCTCCGTAGCCATTCCCGCCGGGACTTATGGCCGTGTTGCTCCCCGCAGTGGCTTGGGTATGTATAAGACCTCCTCTGCCACCCTTCTTCTCCTTATATATTACCACAATACCAACCATATTAACCCCTACGGCCAGCTGTCAAGAACTTTATCGATGTTGGGGCTGGAGTCATCGACGCGGATTACCGCGGGCAACTTAAGATCCTGCTCTTCAACCATTCGGATACCGATTTTGAGGTGAAGGAGGGCGATAGGATTGCACAGCTAATTTTGGAGAGGGTAAGTGAGCCAATGCTGTCTCTAGCTTCCCCTTCCGTCCTACCTCACACCCTATGCTGGCACTATCCCGAGGAAGGTATTAATCAGTAATCTCCGACCCTAGATTTACACTCCTGAAGTGGTGACCGTTGAAGAGCTCCCCGAGACCGTCCGCGGTGCAGGCGGCTTCGGCAGCACTGGTGTCTAAATGGTCGGGCCAGTCTGACGCTTACCACTTGACTTACGAGTCACACTACTTTACAGCTCCCGGAAAAGTTTCAATTACCCTGCGATGAGTGCGTTCAATTTTATGAAGGGAGTTACGTTACGATGTAAAACAGAAAACGAAAAAACTGTGCAAGGAAATATAATCGCTTTCAAGAAACAGAAAATGATGAGATAAAACATACACAAGTAGTTCAAAATGTCCAATTTGACTATGTGATATCTGCCTGAAATTAGCTATAAGTAAAGAATACGTAAATATGGCTAAGAAAAAGGTTGTCCTTCTACACCCCTATAACCATCTTAAAGAAATGATTGCACAATTAGCTGTGGGTAGGCATATTGACGGTTGCCTTGGTGGCAATCGCGTCCTCGCTTCTCCACAGGGCAGTCACAGTCTTCAATTGAGTGTAAAAGTTCAATCCGCTCTTGCCATAGAAGTAGTTTCCACCATTTCCGGCAATTGAGCCCTTGTTTCCAGTAAAAGAGAACATTGGAAGAGGGACGGGGATTGGAACCTGGAAGCTGTTAGCCGATTACCTCTATCAATGTACCATTTGGGAGTAACTTACATTAATACCAACTTGACCCGCCTCAATATCTCTCTGGAATCTACCTGCAGTAGCTCCACTATTGGTAAAGATAGCCACACCATTGCCATACTCATTTGCATTGATCAAGTCAATAGCATCCTCCAACGTGTCGACATTCAAGCAAACCAAGACCGGTCCGAAAATCTCCTCCTTGTAGCACCTCATGTTTGTAGTGACGTTGGACAAGATGGTGGGGCCAACAAAGTTTCCGTTTGGATACTTTGGTGGCTTGTACCCTCGCCCATCAAGCAATAGGGTGGCTCCCTCATCAACACCGCTTTGGATGAGGCTCTCAATGCGCTCCTTTGCCTGTGAAGAGATTACTGGGCCGAGATCGGCGCCCTCTTCAAAACCACCATCAACCTTAAGCTGCTTAGCTCGCTCAGCAATTTCAGGAAGCCATTCCTTTGCCTTTCCAACTAGAACTAAGGTAGAGAGAGCCATGCAGCGTTGGCCAGCGGCACCAAATGCCGCACCTACAATGGCATTGAGAGTAGCATTCTTGCTGGCATCAGGCATAACGCTAAACCTGAGTTAGCCGGAGATCCGGGTAAACAAATGGAATTAATTTACCAAGCATGGTTCTTTGCACCAAGGTTTGCTTGCACACGTTTGCCCTTTTCAGAACCACGTGCGTAAATGTATCGGCCTGCCTTATCACTTCCTACAAAGCTAATTGCCTTGATGCGTGGTTCGTCAATAATGAAATTGACTGTCTTTGCAGCACCGTGAACAATGTTAATAACACCGTCGGGAAAGCCGGCTTCACGAGCTAGCTCCGCGATTATCATTGCAGCTCCGGGACTAGACAATGGTGGTTAAACAGTAGGAAGCATCGGAGAAAATTCAATGACATACTCTCTCTCGGACGGCTTCAAGATCAAGCAGTTACCAGTAACAGTAGCTAGTGGTAGACACCACAAGGGAATCATCGCTGGAAAGTCTAGCCCAATGTTAGCTATATAACTCCAACAAAATTCGGTAACGGCAAAGCTTACTGAAGGGGCAGATAGCTGCAACAACACCCAATGGCTCGCGGTAGCTTCTCGTCTCCATGTCTTTAGCCACTTCTAGCACCTCTCCCGTCAATTGTGTCGTAATGCCACACGCAGTCTGTGAGGAAAGGGATGGAAAGTTAGCATCATCTCTAGCGCTTACCAAACTCAACTTCCAGATTGTAACTGATTAATGTTAAGAAAAGAGAAGATACCTCTGCGACCTGCAACCCTCTTAGCACATCACCCTTTGCATCATTAAAAGTCTTTCCCTGCTCAAGTGTGATGCTAGCAGCCAGCCTATCCCAATGCTGCCTGATCAATGCCACGAGCCTGAACATGGTCTGTTGCCTCGTCAGTAAACTCGTAGCCTTCCATGACGGGAATGCCTTTGCCGCTGAGTCCACTGCCTCCTTGAGCTCCTCATCTGTCGACTGTGGAACTCTTGTAACGAGGTTGTTGGTAGCAGGATCGTGAAGATCAATCCAAACATCGGTCTTCGATTCTATGAATTGGTTGTTGATAAACATCTTTGTGTTGGGAGGATTGGCAATCTTCTCGTGGCTCATCTGAAATTCAGGAACTGGCAATGCAGAGCCATGGAGGCGTCGGTTGGACAAAGTAGAGGACTTGGGTGCTGTTACTGAAGCCATTGGGAGAAGAGCTGCACGGGGAACTATCGAGGGGTGCCTTGCGAGTGTTGGGATGATTGTTCGTGGTAACAGTCTGCGAGCAGCAGCAAATGCCATGGTAGAAGAAGTGAAAGAGGAGGGGTAGTGGGAAGGACGAAGGTTGTGGCGGACAGCTGTCTCAAGCGTTCTGTTCTGAGCAAGTGCATATGTAAGTTAGCGGAGCTTCGTGGCAAGACGGAGCATGGCCTCGCGCGGGGGAGGGAAGGGATGTCTGCTGCAGCAGCGCAGGAATGCGGTCGCTCAGGGCAGCCGGAATGCCCGAGGTGGCGCTGGCATGCTATGTACAGTACGTACCGTCTGGAGATATGGCCTTGCGCTGGCCAGGTCTGGAGCGGTGGGTCCTTGGAGGAGTGGTGCTGGTCTTCAATTCAGCGTGTGTCGAGATGGAGGCACACGGAGGCAGGCCGCTCTGGACACACCGTCCCGCGGGGAAAGCCTCGCCTCTGAGAGGAGCCCTGGGGGACGCATCTCGGAGTTTCATAGTGGCGCCCGCGGTGCTTTGCCAGCCTAGTCATGGGATCTGGGGTAGCTCTGCGCTTATTCCCGGATGTGGGATGTTGGCATCGGCACTGGCGTGGGGTCTACTGCAAAGGGCCGCGCTCGCGGCTTCTTCATGTAAAAAGCATATGCAACACCATCGCTGTCATTTTTGTTCGCAACCTAAAGCTACAAAGAGGTCCTAGAAATAACACAAGAGCAGCCCGAGAAAAAGGATTTTGAGATGAAACAAAATCATGAACCCATCCAAGCAGAGCAGCCGAAAGCGCAATGGCTGTGGCCGAATGCTCTCGCTATATCAATCACGAATAATACAAATCATTACTCCATAAAACCCAGCAAGAGAAAATAAAACGAAAGGAAACTTAAAGCACCCTCTTACTCTACTCTGCCTTCCTTGTGGTTCGTCGAGTAGTCTTCTTCTTCTCATCCTCAGAGGAGGAGGAAGCTGCTTCCTTCTTCGCTGGAGTTGGTGC